TGRCTCTGAGGATGCAAAAGGCATTCCCCATCTTCCCAAGGGTGTCCCATCGTCAGAGCATTGCCACAGTCCCCAGAAAGGTGATGGTGACAGCAGGATTTGTCATTTCTGGCCCCACTGGAAATGAGCTCCCTGCTCCTTTTGGGTCACAGCCCACCTTGGCTCACCARGGAGGCTCAGCCTGCACCAAACCCTGCAATTTTGGGTTTGAATTCGGAGTGAAAAGACTCCTCAGCTCCTCCTCAATGCYGGGAAGTCTGACTGTTTCAGCAGTGGCCACACGTCAGGAGAAGAAACCACTGGGATTTCTCTATCTGGGTCTGCATATAAATCATTTACCACCTCATTTACACACGCTCATAATTAATGCACTCTGCATGGCTGCACTGAAACAGTTCTGCTAAAACATCTGAAATGCACGGGGCTGCAAGTGCATGAGTTTAGGGTGTAGAAGGACAGATGAACCCCCCCAAGAAATGGCTGATCCCACTGGTGCCCACTCTCCCTTTCAGTGGAAGCAGATGAGAGGAATTTGGGTCAGATTTCCTCCTTTGAAGTGGGCTGAAAGCCTTTGAGMATCAGTTGCCATTTTGTAAAAAGCCTGCACCTCTTGGCCCCAATTAGCCATGMGCCCAAATCACATCCCATTCTTCCACCTCCCATCCATCAGACCAGAGAGAGCCCARGACTGTGTGTGCAGAGCAGAATTGTCACTTTTTGTGTTTACTGCATTATCAGGTGCCATATCTCTCATAGCCCCCATCTATCCAKTATTCTGGTGTAAGTCCAGAGGAATTTTGCTTGTTTTACTGGAYTTACAGCCCTGGGAAGAGCATCAGAACAGTGTGTAAATCTAAAAGAACCTTTTTAGAGCCTTGCCCATCAGTAGGAGTGTCCGGTGTGACACACCCTCTGTGCCAAGCACAGCTGGAGAGGAATTCTGCTACTCTCATTCTTTCCCCCAAACCCTCCATCATCCTCAGGGAGGCAATCAGAGGTTCAATCTGCCTCTAACCYCATCCCCAGGGGAATGGGAGCTGCAGAAGAAGGTAAACTGGGCTGGATGGAGRGCCAGCACTGCTTACAGGACTGAAACATGAAAGGTTCCTCAAAGAAATCACCTCCTCTGTGGGGATCTCGAGTGTTGAGGCAGAGGAGAGACACCAGGAGAGTCCTGCAAGCCTGAAAAGGGCTTGGAGATAAGTTCAGGAGGTCAGGAAGCTGTAARCTGCAATAATGAGAGCAGTTAATCTGCAGCAGCCTGACCACCTGGCACAAAGGAGTGTCCCYTGGAGGAGGCAGGTTTGTCCCTGGAGGGAGCAATCCCCGAGACACCAATGTGTCCTGACACAGGACCTGCCCTCCGTTAACCCTGCAATACCCCAAGGGGTACAAATCACATCATGTGCAGTGCAGACTGCTCCCAGAGCACTTTCCCCATAGTCAAAAATACCCTGCAGGGGTTCCATTCACCCTCTTKCATTCCACAGAGATTATCTCCTGGCCAGGACTGAAAAATATCCTGCARGGGTTCCATTCACCCTCTTTGATTTCCACTCGCCCTCTTGCATTTTAGAGAGCACCCCCAGGGATTATGTCCTGTCGAGGACTGAAAAATATCCTGCARGGSCTCTATTCACCTTCTTGCATTTTCATTCACCTCTTGCATTTTAGAGAGCATCCTCAGGGATTATCTCCTGGCCATGACTGGGAAGTCTCAATGTGTTCATGGTGCTCAGAGGACACCACAGCTCTCACTCAGTGTCACCCTGGGAAGGTGGCAGGCCAAGGAGGTCCCTGCTGTGCTGRCAGCACGGAGGGAACCAGGGCTGGAACAAACCCATCCATCACCCAGTCAGGAGCTGCTGAATTCCAGCTCCCTGCAGGCACATCCTCCTCAAGGGCTGCTGTGAAGTTTGACTGGAAACACCGAATCAGGGAGGGCTGAGCACTCACAGTCCTGCAGCATCTCCTGGGRGAGCCTGCCCAGCATCATTCCTGACWCAATCCTCATGCCAAGAGGATCTCRGAGCTGTACCTGGCTCCTCTTAGTTCTGATGCTGCCTGAATCTCAGATTTGAACAGATAGTCAGCAGCCCTACCSAGTGTCTCCTCCACATCACACCTCTGCACATCCCCACCACATCCTTCTCTGTCTGAAGCCAGACCTCCAGGTCTGTCTCACTTAGGTGAGCAGAAAATATCTCTGAAAACCTGTGGCCCCTCCACCTTTAATGAGGGAGATTAGAATAMCTTAAAGCACTCTCATACTTCAACCATCTCCAAGCAAGAAATGCTGCAATTTCTTCTTCCTCCTTGGCATTAGGTCAGTCAAAACCATGCCCAGGTGAGATTGGAGACTCTCAGACATCTATTTGTAAAGATTCCCTGGAGTGGTACTAGAAGAAGAGACTTGTCCTCAAAGCAGCCTGAGCTTCCCACCTCCCTTTCCCTGCCTTAAATCCCATTCATAAGAGGCTCCTCCCTCAATTTCAACCCAGCTCCTCTTTGGAATTYAACACAGCTGAGARAATCTGCCAGGCCACCCCAATMAATCCCATCAATTCCCTCTYCCCCCACCAGCAGTGAGTTTCCTCTGCCATAACYGTGATCACAAAGTCGTGACTGCACGGGAAGAACAAACAGGAGGAGCAGATGGGGCGTGAGGGAGTCAGCCCTCATTCGTGGTAATTTAGCAGATGTGGTAAGGGAAATCTGGAGAGACAAGCATGAGGTGACAGGATTCCAATTTCAATCAAATAATTGGGAAGTCTCCCTGGCAGGGAAAGGTTTCATCTTCCATCTTCTTGATTACCTTGTCTTGAGGACATGATGACTGATGCCAAGTGCCACCWCAGGGATGATCTGGAGTATTCTTCATTTAAGATCCCATGTGACTCCTTGCCCTCACCAAATGGATTTTTTTTTTCTCACAAGGGAAATCCATTCTTTATAACCCAAATGTCCATGARAAAAGACTAAAATTCAATTAAAGTAATAATATTCATTAATTCTGCAGCACATTCAATTCTGCTTCTGTCCAGAGACAAAGACTTTRGGATCAGTCCTTCCCTTCCCCATTATCAAATCAGGATGGCTCAGGAAATTGGGGACATTATAAACATCTCTACATMCAGCATATTGTAATATTCATTTGGCCCTAGAATTTCATCTTGGCAGAAGCACCAAAGTTATCACAGATGGAGACGAGGTTTTTCTCTTTATAAATATTACAGAGCCATTAATTAAACAGGGGAAATTAACTGTGCCAGGCAGCACTGCAGAGGGACAGGAAAGCACAGTCACCACTGGCCAGCATCTCAGACTGAATGTGGGAGAAGTGCAGACGACATCAAACYGACAGCAGAGATATTCTGGCATCAACATCACTGCAGGTTTTAGAAAATAATTCAGCAAGAAAAATAATTTATAGGCATTTCTGATGCTCAGGAGCAATATTCCAGGAAAGGTGGAATGAAGGACTTTCAACCTTTTGAAACAAACCATGGTGTTTTGGTTAAAGGACACAAAAGATGTCCTCTCTAAGATGATTTCATCACAAATGCAATAATCAGCCCCCCAAAGACAACAAACTGGGCAATTTCTGCATTCTCTCCTTGCACAGTGCTGGGGTTCAGTCACACAAAGCCCCTTCCAGTTCCCCGTGTTCTCTGCACCCCCTGTTTACCACACAAAAGATTGTACAAAAAATTGTCTCCCTGACACCCATTTGAAAAAAAACTCCAAGGAAAAACCTGCTGCTGAAGAGAGGAGGATCTTTTTCTTTAGTTTTGATACAAATGGTGCTTGAAACGTCTAGGTTTCTCTAGAATAATCACAAAGCCCAAAGTGCCCTGCTCTCAGTGTCTCAGTATCTAACATCAAAGAGTAGGAAATGTGTGAGTTTTTAGCAAGTGSAGGATTCTGCATGAATACATCATGAGAGGGATATTTTTATAAACAACTCATCTCTGTAACGTTCTCCAGAACTAGTTTTTAATTCTGCCTGCCATAAATAAATCTAGGGGAAAAAAATTGTTCTGGTATCTTCAATCCAAATTTTGCACCAATTTTTGTGTGAAACATGGGTCTGTCAAGAAGGTCATATCTGAATCTGTTGGAAAAATTGCCAAAGCTTCACCACTGTAATTCTTTGGGGTTTTTTTTTGTTGTGTACAGACCTTTGCAGATTCAATACAGACAGATTGCAGAGGCTGCTCTTAGGTTTATTATTCCCTGATCCTCTTTAAACAAGGGCCCTAAATTCATCCTGGTATAAGAGCTCTGCTGTCACTCGGCTAAGATGCAGGACACCTATTTTGAGAGCCCTGTGAGACACTGACTTGCAAACCTGTCATTTGGAGTAATCCCATGTCCAGGACACCAGACAGCTCATGGTCCCAACAGAATGTCCAGTGAGACCCTCTTCCTTCCAAACACCTTCATCTGCACCTCTCTATCAGCTACTGGCAGAACTTAGGGGACTGSTTTCAGTGAAAAAAGCAGTTAGATTTTGGGATGGAGATAATTTATCTGCTAGGAAAGTTGAGAGGGTTTATGCATCAACCCGGGGGCAGGAATTTATGAATGAGTTCCCACAGCTCCTGCAGTCACAAGCACAGGGCAGAAAAAGCAGCATTCGAGTAGGAACTTACACAGGACTACCCCATGGAAAATAACAGCCCAAGCAGGAAATCACAGATGGAAAAAGATACAGGGTGGGCAATGAATCTGCCTGAGAGCTGGTCCGAGTGYCCAGGCACACACATCGATCTGCTTGATTCCCAGCCTCTCACTTAACAGYAATTAAATTGCTTTGATGAGCACTGACCCCTGAAAAGCTTCATTACAAACCAATCCAGCTTCACTGGTTATTCTCCTGTCTCTTTTTCATCTCCCTCCTTTTGCTYCCCTACCCCGTTAAGCCCTGTTGTTACTTTTCCATCTGGAACCGATTGCCCGGAAAGGGACTGAAAAAAGAGAAAAGCATCATTGCTTACCAGAACTAGGAAATATCTCATCCCAGCCGCTCACCAGCCATTTCCCCTCTTTCCAGCCCGTGGAGCTGCTCCTGCAAGGGCTGCCCCTTTCTGCTGGGATGTCACAAGGCGGAGATTAGGAGTAAATGCTCTGCAAGCCAAGCCGATCATCCCGCTGCSACCGCATCCAGGTAGAGGAGCAGGAGCGATGGAAAAGTCCATCAGGCAGCAGAAAACACCATCTCCCGAACAAACACACCCCAGGCACGGAGAAATKGGAGTGCAGGCAGGAGGGAGAGCAGATGGGAGGGGGGTGGCTTGGGGAAACCAGGAAGCGAGCGATGCGAGCATGACAGATGTGTTGACTTTAAGTTAAACAGGAAATTGAGGATGTTCGACGCAGGGAGGAAAGACATTAGCTCACATTAAAGGCAAAGACTTTCTCTGGTCTTTTCCCTTCTCTGCTTTCCCTCTTCCATCCAGGCTTTCTCTAGTGATTTTTGGCTCTGTCTTCACTGGCARAAACGAGCCAGGGTTGACACTGAGTCTGTGAGTCTGGGAGAATTCTCACTGAATTCTGCAGGGCCAGCCCCAGAATTCTCCATCCCAGCAGTGAGTTGGGAGAATGTTCTTTATTCCCTCATCAACTCAGACTCCCCTGACAGTATTTAAACAGCATCCTCTAGATGATGTGAGTAAAAGAGGGAATGCTGAGCAGCAGAACAAGGCTTTCAGTTTGTCCCAGTTCTGGGCAGGGGAAAACACAGCAGGGTCAAAATCCTGATTTAGGTTATGTAGGATAAGCAGCAGAGAATAGAATGAATTGATTTAAATGCAGGGGAAATAAAGTGCCTTGGTGCACTCGATTTCTCCATGAATAAACCTGATTTTTTCATAGTCCAGACAAGGGTGACCAGGGTGAGTCTGGGGGATGTGAGGGTGCAGTGGGATGTAACTCCAGGACAAGGTGGCTGGATGTCCAGGCAGCAGCAAAATGTGAAGAGAATTGGGGAAATCAAAGCCCTGCATGTACTGATTTCTGAGTTACAGCCTGGAAATCTGAGTGAAGAAAGGCCAACCATATCACTTTGAGCTGGACCCCAGCTCACAGAGATGAGGGGAGGAAGATAGTGACCCCACCACAAACCCACGGACAGAAAATCAGCTGGGACACAAGGACTCTGGTCCTGTTTCACAGGCTGATCCTCCCTGCTGGCTTTTTCCACTGCCTTTGGCACAAGGAGGAAGAGTCCCCTTGTCATCCTTGCAGAGCTGGGTGTCAGCCACAGCCCAGCAGGAACACCCAAGACTTTTTGTTCATCTTCCCACCAAAGCTTTGTCCCACACRTAGAGGTGACAAGAATGTCTCCTCTCTGACATGAAGGCCCTCAGGGTGAGATTAGTGACAGGATTCTTTTTTAATTCTAGCTGTGCATTAGGCAAAGAACAGAAATCTGCTAACAGAGTGAAATATTCAGGTTTTGGTGCAATCGAGCCTGCCTCCCTCCTCACACCCCGCTCCTCCCCACCCCCTCACTGTCCCTGAGCTGTGCTTTTGGCCTCCCTTCAACATTTTAATGGAGTATTGACAGTGATCCATTCGCACTCCAAACAGATGAACCTGACTCGCATGCCCAGGATCTCATTTGCAGAGCCAGCCCGAGCAGGTGGGTTTGGAGCATCTCCTCGGATGTCTCAGCTGCAGTTCCAAAAGAATCCCTTCTCCAGGCTGGAGAAACAGCTTGGAAAAGTCTAGCGAGGATATGACACTCTGGGAAGCCGCTGYTTCGGGTCTCTTGTCCCTCCTCCTACCTGCTGCCACGCTCTGCAATTATTTATAAAGCTCCATGTTCTTTCCTAATTGGGATGTTCCCTTCCCCTCCTCGCACGTCACTCGTGTGTCACTCTGTGTCTGGATCCCAGGTGACCTCTGGGAGTGCTGGGCAAGGCTGGAATCAGCCAAGTGAGTCATCAGCAACCTGTGGGCATCTCCCTCCCTGCACCACTGCCCCCCKGGCTCCACTGCCTGGGCGACTTTAGAGCTGTCTAATCCCCTGGATAATTCATGGAAAGAGGATTACCCATTCTGTGCAGAGCCCTTAACCTAAATATAGCCCAGCCTTCCCCTTGCATTGCAGCTCCCGTGGCGTGGAGGCGTTTTCCCTGCTTCCCCATCCCATCTCGGGGGTTAATTCTGCTCCTGCTCCAATCTGGGACAGCCTGGCTCTGACCCACGTGAAATAAAACCGGGGTTTGTAAAGCAGAGCTGCTCTGTGAACGCCAGCAGGATCAATGCAGACTCACACCCAGGAGTGCATTTCCGCCCTAATAAATGGCAAAATCCTTCTGTGGGGGGTGTCAGGGAATATGCTTTCTTATAAATAAATAATATAAATATAAAAATGTAAATATAAAGAAATAAATATAAATATAAATATAAATATAAATATAAATATAAATATAAATATAAATATAAATATAAATATAAATATAAATATAAAATAATATAACTATAACTATAACGATAACAATAAATATAAATATAAATATAAATATAGATATAAATATAAATATAAATATAAATATAAATATAAATATAAATATAAATATAATACTGTATATTTGGAAACCAGGTGCTGAACTACAGAGCCTGACAGTAACACATCAGGAGGGAAGTGCTAGAATTGGATAATCCCGTGGGAGTTGCAGCAGCCTGCCCCAGGACCTGGCTCTGCTGCTCAGCCTGGGTTATCCCTGCTGCCAGAGGGATGGTGGAAGGGGAAAAGTTAACGTTACCTTCCCTGACTATACTTGGAGATGGGGGRATGAACTGGGGAGCTGCAGCAGGGATTCCTGATGGATTCAGCTGGGAGATGACAGAAAGCCTCACATCTCTCCTCATTTTCTCTCTCCTCATTTACCTGAGCTTCTCTCCTCACCCTCCTCTCATTTTCCTCCTCCCCTCTTCCCCAGATGCTGAAATGAGGCCTGACACAGCCACCACAGGCTCCCCTCTCCTACAGTGCCTTTTTTTTTTGGCAGTTAAACTCCTTATGGGACTTTAGTCACCGTAACATTAAAGCATTCATTAGCACAGGAGTAATTCCATAATCTCTTCAGAAGAGAACAATTTCAGAGGTTCAGCTCATGATCTGGAAAATCAATTTGCTGGCTTGACGATGCAGGAAGAGGATTTTCAGGGCTGGCTTTGGCTTTCCCAGCAGGACTGCTACCAGCCCTGGGACTCGGTGGCCAGGGAGAGCCCACCCACGAGAGATCTGAGGGGTGGTGACAGGACCTGGGGGCTGTCACTGGGCTCAGAAAAGGAAGGGAGCTCTGGCAATGGCAGGAGAAGCCTCAAAACCCAGCCTGACTCACCAAGTTTCACCCAGCACAGGTGGGACAGCATCGCTGTGTGTAACAGGGGATTTTCCTCCCTTTTTCATCTCTACACCAAAAGCAGCGCTCAGAGGTTGTGATTATCATGAAGAGATRCATCTTCAGCATCCTGTCTTTTCCCTGCAGGTCCAGGGTAAACTAAACTCTGGCACCCCCTGCACTAAGCACCAGCCCAAGTGCTCCTCCTCTCTTTGTGGAATTTTTCACACTCTGTGGWATCAGAAGCTGGGGCCCACACTTTGCCTGCAGACACAGCCAGATGGGTAGAAATCATCTGCAGGTGAAGGGCTGACTTTTGGGAAGCACTCAACTCTGCCTCAGAACCTGAGTGGGCTTCCACCTCCAGCTCAGCTCCTTCAATCAGAAGTTGCCAGTTACTGAGACTTTAAATTATAAAGATGTTCCAGAACATAAATAGGTACAAAAAGCTGCTTCATGGGACAGAGCTCTCAGAATTTGGCAAGCTGAGGTGGAAGGMTGTCTCCTGGCAGCTGCTTTCTGGTTCTGGCCTTGATGCTCCCAAAGCACCCACATTATGCACTCACAAAACTGTGTTAAGGAAGCCTAAGATGTCCTTGATCAGATCTGGTCTGATCTCCAAAGGTGGATGTGCCTTTCACAGCCTGACCATGAGGAAGAGAAGCACCAGGAGCTGATGAGGACCTCTTGGAGCTCTGGAGACACAGGGTCCCAGTGTAGGTGCTGCTGATAGCTCTCACAGTGAAAGGAGATGCTCCCCTCCTCTTTCTGCTGGAGGGTGGAAAAGGGCTTTTCCATCGTGAAGCAGAAKCAGAAGAAACCCTGAATGCTGCCTGGGCTCCCACTCCTTCCTGCAGCTTGTCCTGTAGGGTCTGACCATGGCCATCCCACTGCATGGAGTGTCAGGGCCCCGTGTCATTAAGGGCAGAGGCACTAAAATGTGATCCCAAACGAGCAGCAGTACCTGGGATGAGCAGTGAGGCATTGCTGTACATGCAATATCTGCCTGAATAACTCACAGAATTAACGCTGCTCCTCTCCCTTCCCTCAAAGGACAACACCAGGGACACAGAGAAGACATGAAACAGCAATTTTCATGCCATGTCAGAACATGACTTCTCTCATCCTACTAGAAATTTCTCTTCATAAGCTCTAGCATGTGCTTACAAGTGTCCAGCCTGAACACAGCCAGGGATCCCCTCAGCACACATGGAGCACTGCGTGCTCCTCCCCTGTCCATTATTACCACCAGGCTGTTACTCTTTTCCTTTTCTTTGAGAACGAGGTCATCCCTGACAATTAATACCCTTGCAGAGCCCCTTTTTACCCGTTATTTTAATGGGATCTTGGCGTCATGGATCATATTGCTGCAGTTTGACACCTGTAATGAAATTTTCCCCTGAAYAACACTTTCTAAAAGAAAAAGAATCCCTGCAGAGAAGAGTGCCTGGTTACAGGATGCGCTGTGGGCACGCACACATCACGGGAACTTGTCACCTTGTCACCACAGCACCCGCATCCCGCCACAGCCCTGCCAGCTCCCAGATCGCTGCTTTCACTCTGTGGCTTCGTTTAACCCTTCCCCAGAGGGGGCACAAACTGCAGGTTTGAGTTTTGGCTGCGGTTCATCTCTCGTGGAGAGGATGATGAAGGAGGGCGGTGTCAGTGGGTGCCGGCTGYGCAGGACAGCTCGGGTGGGTGCGCACATCACCGGCACCCCCGCACCGTCCCGG